TATAACCTGCAAGTAATTGCAATATCTGTTTCTAACCTAAGAGTCTCTGTCAGCTTTCCAGGCCAATAATGCAGCCAGATGTAACTTGCACTGCAGACATTCCTTAGTTGCTGTAGGTCCTTTACTGCAGAACTTTGTAAGTCTACAGAAACTTATGGATACTGACTGTGTTCACAATTCATATTACTATGCTTTTCTTTTTTTAATGTAATTGTAATATTTTTTCTTGGATAAACTGTGCTCTATGTACATTTTTCCTGGGAAGGCAGCCCATCTAGGAGAAGGAAAACTCTGATTTTAAACCTCCACTGCCTTGTGACTATATCCACCGATGGAAAAGGCTTCAGGGGTTAACCTCGAGGCAAAATCCAGAGCCGGAGTCCCGGAGACAGTTCGTGTCGTTCTGGCAACTCCTGCGACATCACTGGAACCAGTTGTATTGGCTCTTGCCTTTCCATTGGACTATTTCAGCAACATGGAGAGGGGGGATTTGCTGCTTGGGTAACAGCCTATCCTCCATATTATTTTACCCAGCCTTCATGCTCTGGAGAGGACACTCCAGCTTCGCATACAGTGTCGAAGTCCTCCATACAGAGCATGTTACCCTAGTCTCTCGACACTGAAGGATGCCTATGATGAATGATATCAGGGAATTTGTTTAATAGACTGGACTACAGTAGCAACCAAAGAACTGAAGCCAATAGGTGAGGAAGAAAATATTGTTTGAGATAATGAAGGCATTTTTATTAGGATCCATGCTCAATCCAGTGGCTGCTCATGGATGGGACACAAGGGGATGCCTCACCCCAACATTTGGGAGGTGCCCCGTCCCAGTCACAAGCTATCTGTGGCCCAAGCCCCTCCATTTTCTTTGTCTTCATCAGTTTCCCTGCCTTCTGATGTGCTACGATAATAACCAAAGTCATGAGGTCTAGAACCATGGAAAGCTGAGGGGCTCAGGATGCAAAATTTTGTTGGATGCCTATGATGATGATGTACATTTTTATGTTTCACATCAATCTTTATCAGGAGCTGGTGGGGAAACAAGTTTCTTCTTTGTGAAGCACATCCCTCCAGATGTTACTGGACTGTTAATCTCATCAGCCTTAACTAGGGATGGGGACTCACAACTCGCAAGTCCCTGTCAAACTGGACTTAAGTCACACCAGCAACTTGGCTCAGACATGACTTGGGGGTTTGGGGGGGGACTTGGGACTCGACTCATGACTTGGAATTATGCTGTCTCTGGGCATACACTGGTTTATCAGTGGCTGGTGCATGTGTGGGTAGAGGCAGTGGGCCAGCTCAAGGAAGGAAATCAGGCTGCTGTCTCTGAAGATGGTGGCGGCGGCAGCAGGTAGGTTGATGATAGGGAGTGGGAGAGGCCCAAGTCTTTGGGTCCCAAGCCTCAGGGGTGCAGCAAGTGACTTGAGAGTTGGACTTGGGACTTAATACCAAAGACTCAGAATCAGACTTGGGACTTGAGTCCCAAGACTTGCCAATATCCCTGGACCTAATCTATACAACCAATGGAGAGGAATGATGGGAATTACAGTTCAACAACATATGGAAGGATGCACTCTTCCCATTCCTGCCCTAAGCATTTTGCCCAATGAATTTCATGTTGAATTTTAATTCTCTGTACTGAAGTACAGGGAAAAAGTGCACTATCCTGGCACATTCCTATGCATGGATACTGAAAAGTATACACTCCAATTTGTTTAAGACTTTCTCCACGGTAACTATAGGATTACACTGGCACTCCATTATGCCAGCATCCTTATCCAAAATAAACAGGACTTAGTAAGTGGGTAGCCAGTGTGGTGTAGTGGACAAAGTAATGGGCTAGGACTCAGGAGATCTGGATTTGATTCCTTGGCTCTGCCATGGAAACTCACTGAGAGGTGAAACTGGTAAAACCACTCCTTAAATACCTCATTTACCTTGCAAACCCTATTAGGATCTCTGTGAGTTCTGACTTGACCGCACATAACAACAACTCTAAGTATAGTATGTTTATTCAGTAACTTGAATGCATTTTTAGAATAGTCATTACTTCTGTTTAATGCAAAGACAAGAGAGCTGTGTCAACTTTAAAACATAACAGTTGTATTGTGGCATGAACTTTCTTAGGGATGAGCCTGTGCCTGATCAAACTGGCCGTTGGTTACAAATGTCATAACAAATTTGATGACTTTTAATCTGTAGCTAAGGTCAGAAGACCAAAAGTTGTAAGATCAAATCCACGCAACGGAGTGAGCTCCCATCACTTGTCCCAGCTCCTGCCAACCTAGCAGTTCGAAAGCATGTAAATGCAAGTAGATCAATAGGGACCACCTTGGTGGGAAGGCAACGGCATTCCATGTCTAGTCACGCTAGCCACGTGACCACGGAAACTGACTACAGACAAACACTGGCTCTACGGCTTGGAGACGGGGATGAGCACGGCGCCCTAGAGTCGGACACGACTGGACTAAATGTCAAGGGGAACCTTCACCTTACCTTTGGAATGAATATATACCTCTTAAGCTACTCAAACTCAGGAAGAAGAGGAAAGTACTGTTTGAAAACCTCTACCAAGTTGAATCATATCACCCAGATCACATTAGACTACCTAATTTCAAAGCTGATTGTAAAGCAGGAGCACAATTGAATTTAAAATTGTGGAAAATACTACAATGGGTCCCAAGTGTTACAAGTGACCATGTCCTGAATTAAACCCCATAAGAGGATGCAGAAATCAAGTGTTAGGTAAAGGAGGCAACACAACTAAAAACTGGAGGCAGGGGTCAGCACCACAAAAGTCTGCTTTACTGGGTGGGTGGGGAGAGAGAACAGCAAGCTCCCGATTTTTCCTGTTCCACTCTCCTGAATTCTCCAGAAATGTCAGGAGTCAGGACAGTCTCTTCCCCCCCACACACACACACTTCAGCTGAGAAGGGCAGCGATCAAAAAATGGTTCTGGGGACAGAAAAGTCATGGTCAGCGGGCCTGGCTCAGCATTCTCTCTCACACACAGACTCCCAGTCTTTCTCGCAAATGTCTAATATTCCAGGAGTAGCCCTCAAGAAAATGTCGGGAAAACAAGGCCCGACTGTGGATAAGAGTTCCGTGGTGCTGGAGGAAGCGGCTCCCTGACTTCTCCGGCCCGGGTCCTGGGACCAGAGAGCCGCCCTGCCACAGAGTTTTACCCCTGAGAGCCCCACAAAGGGGGGGCCCAGGCGAGCCGCAAAGGCGAGGGCAAGAAAGTTTCCTCGGCGCCGGTTCTTTCCTCCCCTCAACCCCGGCCAAGAAAGACCCGCGAGGGGGCCTCGAGCCTGGTCAGAGAGGGAGCGCCCCGTCCGGGCATAAAACGGGCCCTGCCGCCGGCCAAACGCTGGGCTGCCTCCACCCCACCCCTCGCTCTCCTTTGCAAAGGCCTCTCTGGAAGACGCGGAGGCAGCCCCACAGGAGGCGCGGCAACCGTCCGGAGGGAGAGCCGAAGGTCACTCGGTCCCTCCCGTCCCTGGAAGGCTACAAGCCTCAGGCACAAGCGGAGAGCGAGATCTCAACGGGGCTCACTTTCGAAGAACCTTACAGAGGAATAATCGGGGTGCCCGCCTCCGCGTCCCTTTTCATGCCACCTCCTCAACCCTCCCCCGAAACACACAGGACTCTTCGACACCGCATTGCTAAATCCGAAACAAATGCCTCGGACTGGTTGCCTATTCACAGATGACCGGAGCAGCAGAACCGTCCCTGGTAGGGACTGAAAAAGGCGAGGGCGAGAGAGAAAAGGCAACACAATTTTCCTCTTTCAGGCACATACAGCTTCCACAGAAATGGCTTGTTCGGAGCGACTTTGAACCTGGGAATGGCAATGACTTGGAAGAGTTACGTCCATCCAAACCTCCCACACGCGCCCCGCCGCCGCTTGTAGCCCAGAATGCCGTTCATTTACCACGTGAATAAGCTTATTCAAGGGCAAAGATAGCACGGGTCATCTATTACCCAATACACAAAACACACCCAAACTATGCAGGAGTAAATGCTTTTACGTCTGACGGCCTGCATGTAGATTACGCACAGGGTGCTTAACCACTGGTCGCCATTAGGTCCACTGGAGCCCAAACCCGGATAGTATCTTACTGCCCCACCCCTTGCCACCTTTGCCATATGCTTCACAGCACACTCTGAATACCGTACTGGGGTGTAAAACATATTCTGAACAAGGCCTTCTGGGCAGCAACTAATTCTGGACCCAGCAGCTCACTTGCAAAAAGGAGTGGAAATTGCCGTGTCGGGCCACTGGTGCAACTCCTTGCTCTCTAATATGGCCTGCAAACAAATTCGATTGCCCCCAAATGTCGTTTTCCCGCACATTTCTGGTCTCCCTCGGCTGGCAAAGGAGGGTGGCAAGTCAACAGCATGTCAGTCGGGCAGGTTTGGTCCAGGGGCCTTAGTTGTTGACTGATCGTGTAAAGGAGAGGAGCTTTCCTCTCCTCGTCTCCTTCGTCCGACCCGGCACTCTTCGCCCCACGGGACGAAGGGCCCCTCTCGCACAGCCTCCCCCTGCTTTTCCCTCCGTCCTGAACACAGGCGGCGGGTGGGTGCGTGGGCACGCTCTTTCCTCGGCCAAAGCCAGCTGGCCCGGCTGCCCTCCTCCACTTCCTCTTGGGAACTTTTTCCCTCCCTCCTCCCGCGGCAGTTCCTTCCAATCTCCGAGAACGCCCCGTCCTCCAGCTGCCCGCCACCTTTTCCTGGACGGAGTAATGCCCACGCGTTTTGATTAAAACACCGCGCGTGCGGAGGATTCCCGGGGAAAGCCGCTCGCCTCCCAGCTCCCTCGCACGACAGTTCCCAAACCGACTGCCCTCCTCCCCGCCGTGGCCCCTGGGAAAACTTCGAAGGAGCAAAGGCAGAGGCAAGAGAAGCCGGATGCGATGGAGGGTGTCGGGGGGGGGGAACCTAGCCCTCCCGTAAGAAGGGAAGCCCGCCACCCACCCCTCCAAAGCCCTTACCTTTGCGGTCTAACCAGGAGGGGGCTTTCCCGCCTGCAGCCCCCGCCTCCTTTCTCTCGGTGCCCAGCGCGGAGTCAAGGGGCAGCCTCCGCGGCTCCCTTCCTATGCCGACTTCTGCCGCGAATGCTGGTGGTTGTGCCAGGAGGGCTGAGGCGGCCGCCCGCGGAGCGCTGCTTGCTGCCCATTCTTCCCTTTCCCCCTTCCTCGGTCTCCGAATGCAGCGGCAGCAGGAACACAGTTGGGACATTCGCTACATTGTTTGCATTCCATTCGCGTCACGTGACCAGGGCTCCGGCGTCATTCCACCCCCACCCCTCCCTTCGCATACCAAAAGCCAAGGAGGAGGCGGGCCCAAGAGGCGGCTTGCCAGTCAAGGGCGGGCTGGGCGGCACCCTCCGGAAAGGAGTAAGAAGAAGAAGAAGTTGCCTCAGAGCTAGCTGGGTGGAATATCCCTGTCATTGGGCAGAGCGAAGCGGCTGTCCAGAGGAGCCTATGGGAAAAATACGGCTGAATCAGACCAAACGCCTGTCTAAATCCAGAAATTTGTTCCGAGAACAGCCAATCAGATGCCCCCTGTGAGGGGCAGGCAATTTGCCGCCTGAAGCTGAGCGGCAAATGTTGTCCCCTCCCTACCCGGTGCAAAGTGAAGAGTATCAGTAGCCAGACCCTTTTTTTAAAAGGTAGAACGTTCGATTAAAAATCTCTATAAATCTGAAAATAAAAATATAGCCAAGTTTTCTGCTTTTTTCCCCCTTGACATTCCAAATCTACCGCTTGAGGTGGCTGCCTCAGTCTAGTTGAAGGGGAGGACCAGCTTGGCCTGCAGGATGCCACATGCCCGATACAAATATGGGATACCTGCCACTTTTGTCTATTCCCAGCAACTAATATACAGAAGCCTATTACCTCTGCTTTTGAACTGTGGTGCTGGAGGAGGTTCTTGAGAGTCCCCTGGACTGCAAGGAGAACAAACCTATCAATTCTAAAGGAAATCAACCCTCACTGGAAGGACAGATCCTGAAGCTGAGGCTCCAGTACTTTGGCTATTTCATGACAAGAGAAGGATCCTTGGAACATACCTTGATGTTAGGAAAGTGTGAAGGCAAGAGGTGAAGGGGACGACAGAGGATGAGATGGTTGGACGGTGTCATTGAAGCAACCAATATGAATTTGACACAACTCCGGGAAGGCAGTGGAAGATAGGAGGGCCTGGCGTGCTTTGGTTCCATGGGGTCACGAAGAATCGGACATGACTGAACGACTAAACGATGACGATTACCTCTGGAACATATGAATATGTTGGATGGCGATGGTACTGTTGCTAGAAAATTTTATATCAACCAGCCCTTTGGAAGTTTATACAACTGTCATCTTCTGTATCTCATGTCACTCTGATCCAACCCTATTAACCATAACAACTATCCATATAAACTTGCAGCTTGAACACTGGAATGCTGTGCAGTGGATGAAGGGGATTATAATCCACTAAAACTCAATATGCTTTAAAGGCTCTTTTTGTTATATGAGGAATCTGAATTTGTCCAAAGCCCCACTTAAATTGTCTACATCGGCATACATCGCATTTTGTGGTAGTGAATGTCACAGTTTATTCATTAAAAGTACTGAGTTATTGCCAGTCTTTAGTATTTCTGGCGTCCTTAATGGGGACAGATACTATCCATCCCATAATTTCTTGCAGCTCCCATTGAGCTTTGCCATGTCCACACATTTCCTTCTTCTTCATGCAATAATAGCTCCAGAGGCTCAGGGAAGTCCCTATAATACACTGTGTGTGACAATGTTTATAAATTAAGTACTTTAAATGGCTTATGCTCCATGAGAAAATAAACTGTGACTACACAAACAGAGTATGTTCAGTATTTCAGCAGTGCTGCCAGTTACATAATAAGAATCCAACTGAAACTTCCAGTGGTGTCATTGAGGATAATTTACTGAGGAGAGGAGGTGTAAAGGAAACTCCATCCTGGAAGGTAGTAGTAAAATCATTAGAAAATTCCAGGGCTGAAACGATATTGTACAGTAGAGTGAAGTTCATTTTGCAATCACTGAATATCTCCAGACTTTAGAGAAGATGTAAACTAATAGCCTCATTTTAAACATTATTATAGAGCTTACCCTATGAAGGTTGGCAATATAATTACTTAAATTAGAGTATTGCTCAATGATGTTTTCCCAATAGATCTGGCTTACAAAGGAAACCTAAAAATAATGTTACATGTGTGAATTTTTAAAAATCGCATCCACAGGCACAAGCATAGCACTGAATTTAGAATAATTGGCCAGTAAGTATACTATTAAACTTCTGCTCAGCAGAAAGTTTTGCCGGTGTAATAATGCAGGTTTATGGTGTATGTGCAACCAGTGGCATTGCACAAGTGGTGATCTATCCATTAAGATCACCCCCATTTGCACAGCGTCAGTGCTTGTACAAGCAACATGATCCCACATTACTTTGCTGGTGGGACCTTCCACTCAGTGGGAGCTCAATAAGATAGTGACTATTAAATTGTGTGTGTTGGAGATGGGGGAGTGTTGTGTATAACTCATGTTTAATCTTTTGTATAGAGTAGCTTTGAACTTCAGCCAGTTCAGCTCCAAAGCAGACAAGCAAGCAAGCAAGCAAACAGAACATAGCTTGGAAAATACACTTGTCCAGAGTTTAATTCTCAGTGGCCAAACAAGCTGGGGGGTTCTGGAATAGTAACCCAAAATAGCAGCTTTCCTAAGCATTCGGGCTTTGCTGTTACAGCAGAAAAGATTAGAGCAATAATTCCTAACTTGTGAGGAGAGGCAATATTAGCATTTCCTGAGACTACATTATTAATTGATGGTGATAATTATGATGATGATTGATCATGAAGGCAAGAGTATTTAAAACTATATTATAAAATTATAAAATGGTTGCCTTTAACGTATGGTTCATAAAAATTGCTGACCCCAGGGGGTACAAGTCGTTATAATAAAAGCAAGCTCAGTGCACTGTCAAGGAGAAATCTGATATTATCAGAGATTGGAAATGTAAAGATATTTGACTACAAATCCATGAATGACATGGTAATAATACTGCAAGTACACATGCATATGCTTATATTAACTTTGAGGGATGGAGTCTATTACTGCTCTAAAATTAAGCACACATCATGAGTAAACAGCTTATTAAGATAGAAGGGGACACATTTCACTTCCCAGTTAGATTGCTAAGCGTTTGCAGTGAACATTCCACTTTGTATTTTTCATCAGTTGACATATACCACATTCTGAATAATCTTCCATATGTAATATACAACAGAATTCATAAACTTGAGAAATCAGATTTCTCAAGATTTTCAGGGCATTCCACAGAACTATGGAATAGTATGCAGAGAAAAATATAAGGAACATTGCTCTGTTTTCATTTTACTGGAAAGCTCTTTTCTTTTTAACATCTAAGGAGCCCTTTTTATGAGTTACCATATTGGTTTCTTATGAATCTGAATTGTATGAACCCATGTGAAGCTAGACTAGGGATGAGGGATAAACTTGTGTACCACCAAGTATAAATATAATTATTGATTATATTTATATCCCACCAAAAATAATGGCACATATGGCTGCTATAGCTCAGTGGGTGGAAAGCTTGGATGTGGTGCTGTGAGCTGGGAGTCTGAATCCCCACTTGGCCTCCTGGAAGAGGGCCAGCTGAAATCACATGGAGCATATATTTCTCCTGGGTTTACATGCCCTGCTACCTGTGAACCCTTGGACAAAGTCCCAGCACACCACCAGAAAGCGGAACTTGTAAACTACTTCTGAGTACTTTAGAATCAGATAATCCTAGCAGGGTCACAATAATTGAGAATTGATTTGGTGGCACATTAATTCTGGTGCTGCTGTTGCTACTTCTACTACTATTACTAGTCTTCCCTATTTTATCTTCTCAACAATTCTGCAGGATCAGCCTGAGGCATAGATAATAGACGAAGGACAGGCAGTGAGGCCCTTCCAGCATCCAAGCCATAACACACACTGGCATCCCTTCTGTTTTAAAGATTCCTGGTTTGGCTTCTCTCTGAATTAAGACCAACACTGCAGAAAAGGCAGGAGCATAACCAGGATAGAGTTACTGGGCCTTTGTCACAGGGCACCAAAATTTAGAAGGCATGAAAATCTAGAGATGTATCTATTGATGAACTTTAGGAAAATACAAATCTCCTCCTGACCCTACTTCCTTCCTTCTCCTCTTCTTCTGGTTGTTGTGAATATAAAAAACTTTTAATTTTTCTCTCTTTTGGGGGTGGGCAGCATGTGCTTCTCCTGCTTTTACTTACTGGGGTTCATGATCGTCTGCCTACACCGAGTGGGAACGGGGAGACGGTGCTGATTGCTCCAGGTGCCAAAATAGTTACAGCTCTTAGGCCATGTATTGCCAACATTGGTTCTCCAGATGTTTCTTTGTTTTGGTACTGCAATTTCCAACCATTGGGTCTGCCAGCTACTCTCCTGGAACTTGTAAGGAAAAAAAAAGTTGCCCACCTCTGTTGCAGACTCCAGTCTGTCCTTTATGCATCCCTAAGGTATTCCTTTGTAATCAAGGCCTTTTAAAAAACAAACAAAAAGAGGGAGGAGATGGCTGAAAAGCTTAACTATAAAGTCAATAAGAAGGTGCATGGCCACATTGCTGCAGGCACAATAGGAATTCTGGGAATGTTAACCATAGATCAGCTGCAGGTATTTCACCATTGTCCTTTAATCCTGTATTCAGGGAAAGAATGTGAGCTTTTTCAGTGTGACCTCCAAATAGATCAAGGTCTGACATCTTGTTCACTGCTTAAACTACTTTAGAAGTGTACTACGAGGAAGGCTTCACATATTTTTTTACCAAGCCCAGGCTTCTAGTTCATAGACCCAGAGTAGTGCTATTCAGATAGAAGCTGACACATATACATACCTAGTCTGTTACTAAAACATTGATATCACATGGTACATTTGACAAAATGTGGTGGTCCCATGATCTCTGACTCTGGTGTTTTGCAGCCTGTCTTATATATTTCTGCTTCTTAGGGTGTTCTTGTCTTAGAAATAACAGTATGGAGAGGTTCACTGTTATGGATTGTACCAGTAATAGTGTTTCAGCATACTTATTTGGTTTGACAGTCTTTTACTTTTGCCTTCACCTTTCACCTTAGGTGGGGAAAGTAATGTAGGCAGGAGACTACATCTGTCTCCATTGACTAACTGTCCTCAGCCAGGCTGGATGGTCTGACTAGATTTTAAACACA